TCTTTTAAATATTTTCTTAGTTGGAGATGGACACAATATCTTTATTTTCTTATGTGGTGCTGAGGATTGAACCCAGTGCCTCACACGTGTGAGGCAGGAGCTCTACCATTGAGCCCCAGCCCCTCTGTACTTCTCTTAAATCCCTTATCATGTGTGGTGTAATGATTTGTTTATGTGTCTGTCTTCCTGGCTGGATTGTGAATTCCTTTGACCATATGGGGAAGAATTTTACCTAGGTTCCTGGGGTCTGGATCAGTGCTTGATCCAAAATAGGAACTCSGCAAGTGTTTCTTATATGTGTTAAATAAAATTTAAAGGACATTATTGGTTTGAACTATTCTGCAACTAGGCTGTAGTAGAGCCGACCAAACAAGGTGTCATGCAATCTGCAATCAGACTGAAGTTTTCAAAACCAAAACCAAAATGCCACAAAACCCCAGGAGATTCACAGCAATCAATCAATTTACCTGAGCTGGTGTGTTAAAGGAGATATTTCTGTTTCAACACTAGGTTAACTGTATTGACCATCTGTTTTTTTGTACTGTCTCTGCTTTCCTTAGCCCTTTTCTTGAGTCTATAGAGCCAACCCTTTCTGCTCAGATCATTGCATTACTCATTCTGTGGAATGGGATGTTGCCAATTCTGAAATTGAACCTTTCCTCCAAAAGCCAATTAAAATCTTAAAATTGAATTTATTGTTATTTTTTCTTTTGACAACCATGAAATAGGATGAAAAACAAAGCAWTTTAAAGTTCATACCATATTACTATAATGGTTTGATTTTATAATTTAAAAAATAATATTTTTTTACTTTTATAGTTAATTTAGAAAAGATTTGTTAAGAGCTTTGTACTAATACTTTTTAAAAATGTTTTTTAAATAGTAATATTTTGATTAGAGGTTTTCAACTACTGCTCCTCATTTTTATACCTGCCTCCACTTTCTGTCCATAAACCCCTATAAAAATCCAGGGTCCTACAGTGTGTTTCTTTCCAGAGTCCCACAAATCTACAAGATTTTTGAATACTGCATTTTAACAGATGTAATTGTGTTTAATGTAATAGATAGARCATGTTAGTTTAACATTGCCAAGATGTCTGGTTGGGAAAAATTTTGCAAATGACTCATGGGAAAATTATTCTGAATTTAGAGCCTCAGAGAARTTAAACTGTGGTGATGTTTGTGTCAGGAGAGAACTTATGCACTATAGCCAAGGCACTAGTGGAAAACTGTGTGCATGTGTGTGTGTTTGTGTTTTCTTGCTGACATCAGATGTATCAATAAGAACAATCCTATGCAGTGTGGTTTGTTAGAAAGTTTTACAGACCAGCTGAAGTTCATCTGTGTTGAGAAGTCACAAAACTTCTCTATGTTGTTCAGGAAGAAGTATAGTCTTGCCTGATGATTGGTGGATGGCAAAATTGGATTCTGTGTAAAATCAGTAGAATCAAAAAGAGGTTTATTTTGGAGAATTATTTTGTGCTCAGAGTTGATGTTCATTAAGGTTTTGGAGGTGTGAGTTGACCCGTCAATAGTTGGGTCCTCTACTACATTTTAATTCCTTATTCTGTGGTGTGTTTTTTTTTTTTTTTTGTCCTCATAAAGTAGGAGGTTGGACAGTTTTCAAAATCAAGAAATTATGATCTTGGTTTAGGCTAAAATTCTTGTGAACAAACTCACATACATAAGTTCCCTCATAACCAGTTTCCTKGAGTAGTTAAAAATTAGCATTCTGAGGATAAATCTTCACATTTCCAGATTTATAATGGTACACTATCAAAACATGGCTTTAAGAAAATCTTCCCAAAACAGATGTAATAGATAAAAATTCATATTAACAAATTTTTATATTAAAAATTAATGTTAAAAATTTGTAGGTATTTTACTTTGTACATTTTGTGTACCTCCATGCACTTAAAATCTTTTTTTTTTTTTTTCACTTAAAATCTTAACTGGAGAGGAATAGCTTAAATTTAAATCTAGTAGGAAGACTTGTGTTCCCCTAAAAGGAGCCATGTTTTGATATTATACCATTATAAAACTGGAAATGAGGTTTATTCTCAGAACACTATTTTTTTTTTGTTCTTTTTAGGTATACATGACAGTAGAATATATTTTGACATATAAACATGGAGCATATCTTATTCTAATAGAGATTCCAGTTTTGTGGTTGTACTTGATGTGGAGATTCAACGTGGTGTATTCCTATATGAACATAGGAAAGTCATGTCAGAGTCATTCCACTCTTTCCTATTCCTCTCTCTGCTGCCTTCCCTTCATTCCCTTTTGTCTGTTCTACTTAACGTCTATTCTTCCCCTTTCCCGCACTTTATTGTGTTTGGCACTCATATTTTAGAGAACATTTGACCTTTGTTTTTTTTTTCGGGGGATTGGCTTATTTCGCTTAGCATGATAATTTTCAGATCCATCCATTTACCAGAAAATGTCATAAAGTCATTCTTTTAAAAATTCTTTAGTTATACATGACAGTAGAATGTATATGGGAGTATAACTTCCCATTCTTGTGGTTGTATATGATGTGGAGTTACACTGGTAGTGTATGCACAGATGAACATAGGAAAGCTATGTCGGATTCATTCTACTGTTTTTCCCATTTGTATCTCCCKTCCCGCCTCCCTTCCCGTTCACACCCACCCACAATCAGGTGTGCCTCTACTCCTCCTTCCCTCCTACCTATTGTGAGTTAGCATCCATGTATCAGAGAACATTTGGCCTTTGCCTTTTGGAGGGATTGGCTTATTTTACTAAGCATGATAGTCTCTAGTTCCATCTATTTACTGGCAGATGTCATAATTTCAKTTTTTTAATGGCTGAATAATATTCCATTGTTGAGGGGCATCTGGGTTTATTCCATAGCTTAGCTGTTGTGGATTGAGCTGCCATAAACATTGATGTGGCTGCGTCACTGTAGTATGCTGATTTTAGTTCCTTTGGATACATACTGAGGAATGGTWTAACCAGGTCAAATGGTGGTTCTATTCCTAGTTTTTTTGAGGAATCTCCATACTGCTTTCCATAGTGTTTTTTTTTGTTTTGTTTTGTTTTGTTTTTCAGTCTCACCAGCAATGTATGAGTCAACCTTTCCCCCCACATCCTCACCAACATTTATTGTTACTTGTGTTCTTGGTTGTTGCCACAGAATGCTAATTTTTAAATACTCAAGGGAACTGATTGTAAAGGGTGGGGTAAAAATTTTCCTTTATTAATCTATATGATTTTCATATAGACTTCTTTCCTAAACCCAATTTAAATGACACTATATATAATTTCTATACTTCTGTGGAGTCCCTTCTTTGTCATTAGGGTYCCACTCACAAAACCTCATCGAAACTATCTTCCAAAGCCACAGTATCCACATACTATCATATTTGGAGTTAGGTTCAACATGTGAATTTTAGGAGGGACACATTCAATCCATAAGGATAGAAGAGTAAAAGAAGAGGGCAGGAGCCCCAGAAGATAAGAAAGGGTGATCAGAGATGATATTCAGGTAACCAGAAGATATCCACGGTAGTCAGAGGTACCTGGGATGGAGTTGGAGGTCTACCAGTGCTCTAGATCGATAGCTCTCAGACTTCTGAATTCCAGAGCAATTTCAAAAACTGTTTGGAGGCAATATTTTCAGGAAGTCTACTGTAACAAATTTGCAATTGTACTACCAATRTTTATTAAAAAAAGTGGAAAGAACTTAATCTGAAGAAAGGATGATGCTTTGAATTGTATAAAATTGGCTCCACTAAAAAATTCATTAAATTGCCATTATGTGAATCAATTAAAACTTTGTGGTGGGTAGTGAAGTTTACTTCCATTATATAGGAGTGTTTAAAAGTTTTGTATTTGCTCATTTTGACAGATTAATCTTCTTGAAACTGCTACTGAAACTTAATTTCATTTAGATTTTTCCATACAGTAAAACTTATCCTATTTAAATATGTAAAGTGCTTTATTTGTTATTAAAAAATATTTTTGAAGACTTTGCTCTAAGTCAGTATGAACATATAAAACTACTTGTTTTAGGGACTGCTTGATAGGTGAGGATTTCTAGTAGGAGGGTAAGAATGCACATGAATCTGTAGTCTCAGTTCTGAATCATTAAAGTAAATATATACACTGGAAAAAAATTCCAGAATTTAAATTGTGGAAATGTAATAGGTTGGTACTATAGAGTTAAGGAAGATTAGTTATTTTTCAGATCACATTGATCTAGATTTTAGAATTGACATCGTTTCCTTTAATAACTTATGTTTACTTTGCTTCCATGTATATTTGTAATCATGTGATGGATGTAGGATTATCTTAYTTTTTGTCACTTCTCAATTTAGAATTGACAGTGTAAAACAGGGATATATCAGCTTTATACCTTTATCATAGTATCCAATCTAGGTTAAAATGGCATCTATTTTTCTATATGCTGTGAATGAATAGAAAACTCTTAGATAAGTCAAAATAAACATATCTCTATATGTTGAAAACTGGGTTCTGTATTTGCATGGTTTTTCTGTATCTGAAAATGTATTACAGTTTGTAGAAGTTTATAAATAAAAGTGATTTGACTATATGATGAATATATATGCTTTTGGTGTCTGTAGGGTGGATTAAAATGATAAACATAAAAAAAAGTTGAGGGGCAGAGACCCAAAGCAAAGCAAAAATCATTAACACAAAAACTGAGAAGAAAATTCTTGGTAACAATAGAATTATAAAAATTCTAATTATGGAATTATAGTTTTGTCATTAAAATCAGCTTTTTTAGTAGAAGGTCTCTTCATTTAGTGGCTATAACAGGCAGCCAGGAAGCTGATTTTTTTTCTTTGACCCATGTGAATTTTCTAGCTGAGGAATGAAATGACTTGGAACCAAGCTGAGCTTTTCCACTGAGCATGCCTTTCTCCAGCAGGGTCTGGCTTGGGTGGGGCCAGTTTTGCTCATTAAGCTTTTGGACACTGAATTTCCATCAGCTTTCCACAGTCTCCCAATGACAGGGAACGGCAGACCACGGGGGTTTGATGTGCTTAAAAGTTGCGTATGTATTTCAAGCGGGAGATTTTTGGAACAGATTCTGTGATAGCAGTTGGGTTTTGTGGTACATTCTTGTTTCTGCTTGGGAAGGAAGTTTGCTTTTGAGAGCATGATAGAATATCCAGGGGACTGAAAATTTGGAAAATAACTAATGTACAGAGTAGATGGAATCAGGGTACGACCAATGTTTGGTAAGAGAATATGTTCCATTTGAATCAAGGGCTATGGGGGAAAATAGTTTTTAGGGGCCAGAGTTTACTTTTAGACCACTTGTTTGCGTTTTTTAGTTGTGTTGAATTTTGGCAAGTTTTCTTTCAGATAATATTCTTTCTTCAGAGATTTGAAATGTGAGAGTAGTGAAAGTTAGTTGTGTGTCTTGCTGTTTCATAATTATTTCAGTGTTGTGATGTGAAGAACTATGAAAGTTATCTAAAATGCCATGAAACCTGCTTAAAGTTAATAGTATGCAGTTATTTTAATATATTAAAGGACAAATGAATTTAATGAATTTATTCTGACCCTAATTGATGTGATTAAAAGAAGGTGAACTATACCTGAGATTTAAATTCACAATTTTTAGCATCTGAATATAGTTGCATTAACAGTTACCATGAACTGTATGCCTTTTTGATGTTGTCTTACTCTAAGTAATATTGTTTGAATAAGATAGGTATCAGCATCTTTTATTACTGAATATTTAATCTGTTGTCACATTGAAGAAATGTGAAAAACTCACCATGTTGCCCAGAATCTGACATCCAGACATAGAAAAAAAAAATCTTCCTCATGCTTTTTTTCTTTGTATAATCTTCCTAACAATCTTTTCTAAAAACAAAACAAAAGAATAACAAAAACAAAAAAATCTTCCCCCTAAAACCCCTTGTTTTGGTGCTGCTACTTCCTAACAAAATGAAAACCAGTACCATTTTACCAAGTGATCTCTTTAATTCCTTTTTATTGTTGCCACGGAAGAGAATGCCCCTGAAGTAATTGTGGTATATTTGGTGGGGGTGGAGCACACATGTGTGTACTTGAGAAAGTTTTCAATTTGTTATCCCAGTCAAATAATTGGCAACGTGGGTGTTGGGAATGAAAAAATGTCGATGATGCTGATGATCTGCTTGGCATCCCCTGCCCCCATCATTTTTGTAGTGTTCTGTATAGATGATATATTGATGACAYAGAATTTAACATCAAGCAGGATCACAAAGCAAGTTAAGTTAGAAAGGTAAATTTTAAAATTTTGACATAGTTTTGGTTGAATTTTTGATACACTCTGAAGATTGAATGCCTGGCATTATTTTCCAGCGGCATCCTCTACCAAATCACTTGTGCAAATATTAAACTTCAAGTCTTTTACCTCAGGATGCATTTATCTCAAGAATTTTACCTTAAGGGTGTGTTGTAGCTCCTTCCACCTAACAATAGTTATTTGAGGCTTCACTAAGTAAACCGTTGTGCTCAGAGTAGAAATACTTCCAAAAAAAAAAAAAAAAAAAGTTTTGTGGCATTCCAAATGGCATGTCTAATTTCATTTTAGTTACAGTTTTTCCCTTCTGGAGAAAGTTGTTCCAATCATGGCAGGATTGGACCGTACATAATTCTAACATCCTTCTAATTATGGACTTACTAGTGGACTAGAGTCAATGTTTGGCATTCACCTCAACTAGAAAGATCATTCAATTTATAGTTTTATTTTTTAGAGTACATACTCTACATTGACGTAACTCTTCAGTAGTGCTATCAATATTTAAAATGAAAGAAGAGCTGATGATCAAAATTTTATAACTGAATTATGTTTTTTTGACAAGGTTTAGGTATTTATTTCTATCCAATGCAGCATTCCAAAGCTTATAGAGAAGAGGATTAGAAAGATGAGATCAGGGTAGGCTCCAGCTTGGTGGACTTGTCATCATGTGGGGGTTGATTGACTTTGACAAGCTTTGTCTTATGACCTATTAAAATGCAGCGTCTGCAGCTCTGCATTTATCCTGTGCAGTTAACCTTGGTGGATTTATCGTTAGCTTATTTGGGAAGAGCCTCCTGAACAACTACTGTTATTTGGTAGCTGCAGAATTTAGAGTTTATTTACACAGAGATGGTAGTAGGATGATTGTAAAGATTACCACTTTTTACTAACCGATTTTGAGTTTTATGATGGGTCTGGGTGGGGATCTTATGTATAGTGTAGATGGGATGAGCTCAGAAAACCTAAACTCCCTAGTGTCTGTTATGATTAAGGGAGATATTCTGTGTCGGCACTGTACTGTTTGTTTGAGCCTGGTTATGCTGTCATTGGAAGAAATTGCTCATTAGTGTATTTTTCTTTTCTTTGGAGCATCATATGATGGTGGTCCAAATAAAGGCTCCCCAAGTATTAGGAACATCACAAAAGTTATTTATTGAGAAGCCACTGCATGCATGACATTACATGAGGAACATGAGGTTATTCATCTCACAAAAATTTTACCCTCTTCATAGGAATGTAGTAGCAGATGTGGGACAGGGAAGAGGTGTGGACAGGAAACATGATGACATGTTTGTGCTTGTTAGGCCAATTTATTCCTGCTTTTCCCTAGGAAGCTGCTGAAAGGGATGATTGGGGGGTATTTGTATGTGATGAGCTTATACATTTGTTTTGGACTTTTGATGTTGAGTCAATTTATAACTAGGATCATTTTATTTGGCATTTTATTCAAGTTTTTTGATTTCAGTTAGAGAGCACATATGTCTGTACTGAATACAGTTGAGAATGAGAATTGGTGCTCTTCAAAAAGCATGTTGCAAGGGGAGAGAGGGGAAGGGAGGGGGCATGGGGGTAGAAAAGATGATGGAATGAGATGAGCATCATTACCCTAAGTACRTGTTATGAAGACACGAATGGTGTAACTACTTTGTGTACAACCAGAGACATGAAAAATTGTACTCTCCTTGTATAATATGAGTTGAACAGCATTCTGYTGTCATGTATTCTGCTGTCATGTATAACAAAATAAATAAATAAATTTAAAATAAAAAAGATTCGAGAGTCATTCACATGGTTAAAACAACAACAATAATAAAGTAATAAAAGCATGTATTACAAAAAAATTAAAAATAAAAAGCATTTAATCAACATGTTCAATGAAGGGACCATTGTGGTTTCTTGAAAAGTTGGTAGTGGTAATTTTTGGAAAACTGGCTGTTTTTGAAACTGATAGTAATTTATGAATCCAAATTACTAAAATTTATGTCAGTGACAAGTTGTTGGATTACATATTGATGCTAACCTTGCTATCTGTGTTCCTCACTATATTGAGAACAGTAATTCTTTCATCTGTATTATTTATGTCTGTTACATATGCTATGAATGCGTTCAAATATTTGCGAGAAAGGAGGAAATAAGATACTGACCCTACCCACATCCTGATGGTCAGTGAAATTTATGGGGCTTGGGGATAACTCAGGATATGTTATTAATGATTATAAAGCCCTAAATTGTTATAGTAACTTACGGATTTCACTTTTTAAATAAACGACTAACTGTCCCACATCATGCTAGGTGCTGGTTAAACAGTAGTGAAGTCATTTTTGGATTTGTGACAGTACTAGATAAGGTCTTTGGAGCTAGACAGCCTGGATTTGAATCCTGGCTCTTCCATTTATTGATTATATGGCTTTGGGTAAGTTGTTTTTCCTTTGACCTTCTTCATCTGTAACCTAGAAATAATTTTAATTTTTACCTTAAAGGATTATAAAGATTAAAGGAATTGCTTCATGCAGAGTTTCTTGAGCAGTCCTCAATGAATGGCTGATGTTATTATTTTTTTGTATTATAACTATTAGTGAAGAAATTGATATAGTCCCCCTTTTCACAGAATTTCTATTTGATGACAGTGGGCCACCATTCATTATCACTTTATTATGTGCCACCCACTTTATGTATAGCTTCTAAGTTAGTCCTTAGAGCCATCCAGTGAGTACATATTATATCCCTGTATTGTTTATGGGGAAACTAAAACTCAGCAACACTCAATAACATGGTTACATAGCTAATAAGAGGCTGAGCAGGAGTTCTAATCCCATTCTGTTGATTTCATTTCATCTCCAGATCACCAGGCTGTTTTATACAAATGTTAGGATAACTTCTCACAGGAAGGAGGTAAGTCTAGCTCTGGCCCTTACACAATATTGGAACTCTATCTGAGATAGGGAATTTGTGCAAATGCAGTTCATCTGATGCAGAGCCAGCAGGGTTCAAGAAGTTTCCAATGCCTCTTGGTTTAGACTGCTGGATTGTCCATCAATCCAGTATTATAAGGATTATGTGCATTATAATTATGAGAATAATGGTCTCTGATTGGGATTCTTAATGATTTATGCACAGCCTTTGGTTATGAGCTCTCACTTCAGGAAAGGATATGTTTCTGGGATGGCTCCAGTTGCTTGTGGACAGGGCTTTGTCTGGCACAGATCTCTCTCGACATAATCTTTCATGAGACCTGCAGGATTTTTTTTTTTCAACAGGTAAGATTGTCAGCATTTATCTTGATTATTATTGAAATTGGGCATTATTGAAAATTATACCCTAATTTTCATATACTTCAATATATGAAGAAAGGGAGTTTTATACTTGATTTTGTGTTTGTTTCATTCTTATTTAGAGTCTTAAAGAATTAATGGTTCATCTCACTAATCTTATCTTGCTTGGGTGGTTGGTTTTAAAAAACTGAGCATCTGCACAAAAACATAAAGAAGACCAATAGARTAGAGGAAGAAGATCTAGAGGGAGGAGAAAGGGGAGGACATAGAGCAGAACTGCAGAAGAAATTACCAAGTTATGCTATGTCTGTATATGAATTGTGTGTGTATGTATGTGTGTGTGTATAATTATAATGCACTAATTTAAATAACAATAATAGAAGGGAGATCACTAGAGTAGAGCAAGCAGATCTGGGGAGGGGAAAGGAAGGTACTGGGGAATGAGATTGATCAAATTGTGTGTGTGTGTGTGTGTGTGTGTGTGTGTGTGTGTGTGAATATGATATAATGAATCCTACTGTTATGTATAATTATAGTGCACCAATAAAAAAAATTTGTAAAAAAAAATGAGCATTTGGAAAAAACAAAACTTTCAACAACCATGGCTTTTAGATATGCAGGTTATAAAACTCTTGGAGAGTAGTAATTACCTGAGCTCTATCTGTATATACTTCCAATCTCTTCAGGCTTATTTTCTAATGCTTTCTTCAGCCTGTGTGAAACTATTAAGATGCTTTTGGCCGCAAGTAACAGAAACCTTTGGCTCAGCCTTTTCAACTATAGGTGTATTTTATTTTACATCACAGAAGCTCTGAAATAGGACCAAACTACATGTGGCATGCTCAGAGGATGGCTTCAGTGACTCTTGCCAGTGTTCTCTATTGTACGTCATTTTGTCCCCAGGTTTTCTTCCTCCATAAATTCAAGACAGCAGCAGCTTTTCCAAGAGTTTTGTATGCAATGCTCAGAGGCAGCAAAGGGGCTCTTTTTAGAGGGAGAAGTTTCTTCCCAGAAATCCACCAATAGACTTTTTGCATATTTGCAAGAAAAGGGAGATTACACAGTTGCCCTGGACCTACAGAACTTACCTTTGTGGCCCATCCTAGAGCCAGCCTCTGCTGTTCACATGTAGAAGAGGCACTAAAGCTGAACAACAATTTGGGTTCTGTTTAAAAGGATAAAAGGCAGTGGAAATAAGTACATGCTCTGAATGAAACCTGATTCCCCTAGACTTGAACTAGCAAATGGTTGAATTTCAAGATCTTTTGATTCTGGGGGCTTAGTTTGAACCAGATGTTAGTTTATGTCTTTAAAGAGATAGTCTTTTTAAAAAATATTTATTTTTTAGTTGTTGATAGACCTTTATTTTATTTCTTTATATGCAGTGATGAGAATTGAACCCAGTGCCTCACACATGCCAGGCAAGTGCTCTACTGCTGAGCCCCAGCCCCAGCCCCCAGAAATAGTCTTTCTTATAGGACCTTTCTCTCTCTTATAACATACTAAATAATACTTGTTTATTTTTTAACTAGGGTAGGCAGACTTGTATTATTTAAAAAATAGCACTTGTGTATTTTCACCATATAGATAATATAAATAGGCAAATAGTTTCTTTAGAATGTGTTAATACTTAATTGAATAGAGAGGATAGCATTTTCTAGACCTTCTAATACTTAAGAAAAATATAATGGAAAGTACTTACAGTCTACCCCCCCACCCCCTTTTTAGGTACTGGGGATTGAACCAGGGCTTCACGCGTGCTTAGCATGCACTCGGTACCACTGAACTATCTCACAGCCCTTTCAGTCTATTCTACCTGTTTTGGTGTTACTTCCAGATATTTTTAAAATTCTTTTCCTCTGTTCTCCATTTTCTACTTTTCCTCCCCCTCCTTTAAATGTTGGATATATTCCTGTATTTGGGTTGCTGTATTTTTTTCCCTCACATTTGATGCTTTAATAGAAGATAGTGGGGTAATAAAAGAATCTTCTCTTTGGCTATTAGACTCTTTGAGGTGATTAAGCAAGTGATTGTGGGTATCATTAATAATGATGCTCCTACACATCTTCTAACCAGCATAACAATAGCAGATGGAAAACTGGTTTTGTCAGTTTTTGAATTTAAAATGTCTACATGTTACATGTTACCAGTATTATTTAAATCAATGGTTATTTGCTGTTTGCACCATTTTGCTTCTTTAAGTTGGAACAAAGGCCTTCCTTTATTCTCTGTATTTACTATTTTTAAAATGTAGAAATGTATACTTTTCCATTTTATAAGTCTTGGGTCCTTAAATAGTAAGTTGAGTTCTCATGGAAGATAACAAAGGCCTCATAGCTTGTGATCAGCAGAGGCTAGAGCAACTCAAGTGGCAGCCCACCGTTCCTACTCTGAAGGGCTTCCAGTTCATATGAACTGAAAGGGCTTGCAGAGTAGCCCAGGTTCTCTCAAGGTCTTAAGGACACATGTGGACTGAAGAACCTCTTACTTTTGAAGTTCTTTGTGAGTGTGTAGAGTTGTCTGTTTGTTTAACTTTGTTTGCTCTAGTATTCTGATTAAGAATGAGTGGTTTAAGCAGTGTTATGTTTTATGGAAGGTAGTTTAGGCTAATGATTGACACAGCACCTTGGAATTTATCTCCTTTAAACGTAAGAAAGTAAAGGATGATTTGATATAATACAGGTCCTTACCAAGAAAGTAAAGGATGATTTTATATAATACAGGTTCTTTTACCTAGAGCAGTACCAATCTTCTACTGATGATGGTTTTCTGCTTGGATGCATGTTAAATGATGCATACTTTTTCTCATGGAGCTGTCAGAATAACAACATTTTTTATCAACCCAAATGGAGCATGCCAACATGGTAATTGTGACAAAGCCACATAGTTGTCTAATGGGCTGACTGTTCACAGCATTATTCTTTTTGGTTGGTGATAAGTAGGAAGGTCTTTACTTGGTATGTTATTTAACTATATTGATGATGGATTTTGGGTAATTGTAATTAAAGATTAGTGCAGTGAGTTGCTCATTTTGTCTTTGCTTACCTAACTTTGTTATCTTAGGATATTTCAGTGTCTGAGTCTGATAAAATCATATTGAGAGTATTAGACTGGATAATTTAATAATATTCATTCAATAATCATTAGTAACCTTTTTTAAAAAATCAATCAGTTACCATTGTGTTTTCTTTTCCTAAATATGGACCACTTCACAAATTTGCCTATGATCCTTGCACATAGGCTATGCTAATGTTCTCCATATCATTACAATTTTAGTATATGTGCTGCTGAAGGAAGCACAGTATTATCATGTTTTATTAATTGTGGCAAATTGTTCAATAAATCATTTTATCAACAAAAAGGCAATCTTCGGTTTTGAGCTCTATTGAGCTCTTGAAACTACTATAGGAATATGCTTATTTACTTATACTTTTATCTACCCTTATTATTGAGTATTCTCAAACCAATTAGCCATTTCTGTTGTTTACTGTCTTGTTACTTCCATTTGGATGGGTAACACTGTTCAACTCTGAGGTTCTTAAAACTTAAAATTGTGAGTACAGTGGTACTGATGAGGACAACTCTAGGAGGCACAATGGGTATAGTTTATCTGTGTTCTTTCTCTCTGTATTGGAACTCTGTCTTCAATTTCTGTTCATAGTTTGGTTATGATCACATGGCTAACTTTCAAATATTTTTCAATATAACTTTCAAATGTGATATTGGTTTGTAAATTTCTTATGGGGGAAAGGGCTACTTATAGTAAATCACAGAATACATTCATGTTCTTCTGTAATCATTTTAACAAACTGGCATGAATCTTTGCTGAGGACTAGAGCAGGGGCTCTGATTAATTAGATCATTCATGTGTAATGGGATTGGGATTGCATTATGAGGTATTAGTGAGGTAATGTGTACAGCTGTGTGGTTATTCATTTAGTGGTCTTGGACAAATCACTTATATTTTGGTTATTATTTACAAAATTAAGTTAATATCTACTTTGTAAGATGTTTTGAGTAGCAGCATGGTTCCTGACACATTAAGATATGAGTGGTACCTCCTGTGATTGAAGTATAAACACCTATTAATACTTTGAACCTTAGGGTGGAAACTTTGGTTTTATATTTTATTGCCTTTAAAARTTTTGGCCGAAATTCAGCTGTTTTTGAGTAGTCCCCAGATACTTTCTTACAACCAGAGTAATTAAAGAGCTGTCAGTTTATCTTGGTTAGACAAGGGTTGGGAAATTTTTTTTTTCCAATTTTACCAGGGTTTTTATTCAATTCTCAGAATTTAATTAGAGAGTATATGCTAGAAGTCAACTTTGGTTATTTCATGACTAATGTAAATAATATTTTTCTCTTAAATGTGCATGAAAAATGACATGTTAAAAGGGGAAAAAGGTTTTCTGTGCAGTATGGAGCCAGTTTAAGTGTCTTTGGTTGGAAGACATGCTTTTGCATTTTAAATGCCTAAGAATGAGAAGTAACATTGGGCATGTGGTTATGATACTTAACTGTTCCCTCTTTTATAACAGTACCCTCAAGGACATTATGTTTCCGATCTTCCTGCCTCAGTATGTGTATATATATTTGGCCTTCATGCCATTTCGTCATCTGTGGGTTATGATAAGTGTTCTTGTTATGATCCTCTTAAGATCAAGTGACATTGTTTTTCTAGGTAAAGTCAGTATCATCCATGTTTGCAACCATGTACCCATATGACCATAACTTCTGAGTAGCATCTCTAGTGCATATCCAGCCTCCTTCAAAACCTGTTGTGTCTAGTGTCTAGACATCTCCACAAACTTCTCAATTGCAGTGGATTCAAAATTGAGCCAGGTTTAGTGGTATATACTACTAGCAACTTGGAGGCTGAGTCAAGAGATCATAAGTTTGAGGCCAGCCTTAGCAAATTAGCAAGACCCTGTCTCAAAATAAAAAAGGCTGAGGTAGAGCACCTCTGGGTTCAATCTCTAGTTAGCACCCCCACCTTAAAAAAAAAAGTTAAAAGTCTTGACAAGATTCACTTTTCATGTGTGCAGTATTTCCGTGGATGGTTCTACTATTCCCCCATTGGCCCATGACCTGGGACAACCTTCCTTTGATCCTTGACTTTGTGTATTTATTTAGACCCCCAAATCATTTCCAGTCTACTACATTTTTACCATGAGATTTACTTCTTTTGCTTTACCCCACTTCTTCCATAGTACAAAACCATGTCTGAATTATTGTAGCAATCTCCCAGATGTTTTTCTGTTTTAGTCTTTACCTTTACTTTATAACCATGTTGGACAATTTGAAATAAGAATCCTTCTGACTCCGAGGGAAGGCACCTTTCTGTAAGAGACCTGAGGGGCCAGGCACACCTGTCATCCCAGGGACTAGGGAGGCTGAGGCAGGAGGATCGCCAAGTTGGAGGCCAGCCTCAGCAACTTAGCAAGGGGAGACTCTCTCTCCACTCAGATATCAATAGTCCAGAGTAAGGTCAGGTTAGGGTGTTGTATACGCAGATTTTTAGAAGTCRTTTACATAACAATAAGCCTATAAAAAGCGGGATGTATTTTAGCTGAGGTTAAAAAGAAAATCTACAGACTGCACTGTTAAACTGAAGTGTCTAAAATTCACTAACCTCAATAATTTGGAAAAAGAAATTCTATAAAAAGGAGAGTAAAGAAAAGAACATAATACATAAAGTGACAAATTTGAAGACACACCAAATATATGTATCCAAAGAGTGTCATATATTGGTGCTTTCAAAAGACAAATTAATTTGAAATAAATGTGGTTAATGTGAAAAAAAAAATAAGAATCTGATTACAATTAGTCTCCTGATTAAAGAGCTTGCTATGATGTTTTATTGCCTTTAAAATAACTTCTAGAACCTCCAAACCTCAAGGTTTGTTCATGCTGTAGCATGTACCGTGTTTCATTTTTTTTTTAAACTGGATAACATTCTATTTTATAGACATGCCACACTTTATCTATTCATCAGTTGATAGGCACTGGTGAGTAAGGCTGTTCTGAACTTTCATATACAAATAGATGTTTTCTTTTAGGTATATAACTAGCAATATAATTTGCTGGGTGATATGGTAAATCTGTATTTAAATTTTAAAAGCTGTTTCCTCAAGTAGTTGTACCATTTTGCATTCTTATTAGTAATGCTGTGAATTCCAGATTTTCCATATCCTCATCAATACTTTCTACTATGTCTTTTTGATTATAATGGTCCTAGTGGATTTGTGGAGTGTTTCATAATAGTTTTGCTTTATAACTGATGACTAACCATGTTGAACATCATTTCATGTGCTTAGTGGTCTTTTGTATATTTTTTTAGAGAAATGTCTTTTTTAAAACCTTTGCCCATTTTAAAAATTGGTTTTATGTCTTTTTATTCTTGAGTTACAAAAATTTCTTCTTATATATATTCTGGATAGCAAAATATTAATCTGTTAGATATATGATTTTCAGAAGATGTGAGTAGTATTTCAGGAAACAAATATGGCAGTGATACATGCCACATTGTTGATGAACTATGAAAACATGCCAAGCAAAGATGGCATGTCTTGTATGATTTAGGATATTTGCAGCATCCATAATAGGCAAGTCCATGAAACATGAAAATAGATTATTGGTTGTTAGGGGACAGGGGAAGAGAGGAGTGGAGAGTGACTACTAAAGGGTCCAGGACTTCTTTCTGGAATGATGAAAATGTTCTGTAATTGATAGTAGTGGTCGAACAATCTTGTGAGAATATACTCAGAACCACTAATTGTGTACTTTAAAAGCATGAATTTTATGGTATATGCATTGCATTATATCTCAAATTTGCTTTAAAACAAGTGTGCTTTAGTTTTGTTGTTTTTTGTTTTGTCTTTTAAATTTGTACCACTTACGAAGATGGTAATGACGTTATCTATTGGCCAGGGTGCCCCAACTTTGAATACTTGAATCATTAGCAAGAGAGGGGAGAAGTGTAGTCCACTCTCGCATGGGCCCTGCCTATTCTTCTTTTTGCTGGTGCTGCTGCTGCATTTGAAAAGTCCCCATTTGTTTTTGTAAAATTTAGACATGCAGTTATTTTTAGATTTAATTTAAATTTTTCTTTTCATTAGGTGCGATAGGATCAATCATTAGGTTTTGACCCCCATATTATCTTTATTTCATTTGGATTAGGGCCTTTCGATATTTTTCTTACAATCAAATACACAAAGAAAAAGGTGTTTGAGGTTGGATTGGATAAAGTTGGAGTTTTGATTATGGTTTCAGTACCTTTCCCAGATTAGCTTTTGTACTGAAATAGTGATGGGTGAATTACAAGATTTAATATCAAAGCACAAAACAGTACATTTTTATTTCAACTTTAATTTTCTTACTATCAAGCCTCCAGCATTTAAAATTTGTTCTTGTAATACCTAGCATTTTTTTTGTAGATTTTGGGTTTTAATATGTGAAAATGCAGGGAAATGTGTCTCAATACTTTTTAGCATTGTTGACAACATTTTCATGTTACAGTATAAAGGCTACCAAATACACAGAAGTAGTTTTTTCTTAAAAAATTGGATTTATTGTGCTCATTGTTTATAAGTAAGTGAAACAAAATAAAAGTAATCCCTTTCCTTTTGTTTTCCCATTATAGGGCTTGGACCAGGGACACTTTACACTAGCTACACATCCTCAGTCATATTTTCTTTTTCTTTTTTTTTTTTTTAATTTTAATTTTGATCTTGAAACAGTCTCAGGTTGCACAGACTGGCCTCAAACTTGTGATCCTCCTGTTTTCAGAGTAGCTGGGTATGAGCCACTGTGCCTGGTGATCAGTCTTTCTTAAGTCTTGTTTTTTTTAAGTTCTAGCCATATAGAACTTATATTATGATGCTAGTTTTGGTTCTATGATTCTTTAAGAGAATTCTAAAAGTAAGAAAGCAGTCTCCATTTTCTCTTGTGCTTATGAACCTGCTTTCTTAACTTGTGCTTTCTCCATTTCATTTCTGTCATTCCACTTCCCACCCTGCTTTAACCTTCCCTTCCTCTTGCCACCAGGCTAAAATTGGGAGACTTTATAAAATATTTTTTGACTTTTGTTTTGTTACAGTATAAGCCGTGACCATGACTACTGAAGTTGGCWCTGCATCTGAAGTGAAGAAGGACTCTGACCAGTTGGGAGCAGATGTGACCAAGGAGAAAGCTAAACAAGTAGCAGAAAATCAGCAGCATCAGTCATCTGAACGAGAGGAGGAAAAAGGTTCCCAGCCACCACCACCTGCTGAAAGCCAAAGCAGTCCACGCCGCCAGAAGAGAGAGAAGGATACATCTGAGAGCAGGGGTATTTCCCGATTTATACCCCCATGGCTCAAGAAACAGAAGTCTTATAATTTGGTAGTGGCCAAAGATGGAGGAGATAAAAAAGAGCCAACTGAAGCTGTTGTGGAAGAACAGATTTTAGATAAAGAGGTTTCCCTTCCAGAAGAAGAGAGACAGGCCAAAGGGGATGCTGAAGAAACTGCTCAGAGCAAACACCAGGATGTTAAGGTGGAAGTCAAGGAAGGAAAACCTTCAGTGAGCAAAGCTGAGACCCAGGTATCGTTGAGAGCAAGTGATTGGGAATGAGAACCTAAGGACTTACGGAAAAGGGTCTGTTTGGGATCATTTCCAGTTTTCTTACATTGTGATATTGGTTTGGCTTAATGTGTTTGGAATACAGGTATCGGATTGGTCTCCCTTAGACTTCTGCCATTCCTTTTTGAAACAAATTCCAAAATAATAAAACAAAGCAAAAAAACCCCCCAAGAAACAACCCCCCCCAAAAAAAAAAAAAAAAACAACCAAACAACAACAACAAAAAACATGTACAGATTGTTAAGAGGTTCCTACAGATTCCTGTTAAGGTTAAACAGATACTCTGAGACTCCTGCTACCTTTTGTTTTAAATAATATTCCCTTTGTTTGTTTATTTACTTATTTATGTGTTCAGTGGGTAATAAGTAGTAAATAGTACATTTTGGTTGCCTAATGAAGTCTAGTTTTGCTGTGGTTTGAGATTTTAATTGGAAAATCTGTTATTTCCATGATATTTAAATTGTGTTTCCTAGGATATAGTTTCTTTTAGTCATTTAATGCTGAAGTGGCCAACTTGACAAAATGAGAAAATTGGCAGTAGAAGGAGGATGAAGGGAAATATTCTTCATGGCATAATTTTCAAATTTTTTAGAATYTTAGGCTTATGATAGTTTGAATACTGAGCACAGCTCTTCAAGATTTTCCTTTTAAGCCAGGCTAGGTGGCATGTGCCTTTAATTGCAGGTACTTGAGAGTTGAGGCAGGAGGATTGCTTGATCTCAGGAGTTTGAGGCCATTCAGGGCAACAATAGCAAGACTCYCCCTCTGGGGGTGAGGGTGAACAAAAAGATTTTCTTTTTAATATGTTGTCTTCTGCAAGTTGGTTAACTTTAGCATGTACTTAATTGTTTTCTCCTTGGTAGCCTGCTGAAGAAATCAGGGAGGAGAGAGAAGAGGTGAAGGAAATACAGGAAGATGAAGTGGCAGCACCAAGGGAGACCAAGGAAGTGCAAACTAATGAACTGAAAGCAGAGAAGACTTCTCAGAAAGCCACCAAGAAGACCAAAACTGTCCAGTGTAAAGTGACCCTCCTAGATGGCACTGAATACAGCTGTGACCTGGAGGTGAGACAGAGAGATAATCAGCGAGCTATCTTGTTGTATGGAATGAAAGACATTCTGCCCTTTTTGTGGCATGGTACAATGAGTATATTTTTGTGTTTTGTTAACAAAATGTATGCCAGTATGGTGCAATTTTACAATTAAAAAAACAACACAGAAGAGGGACATTATTTCCATGACAAACAGCATATCTTTTTTTTCTGTCTTTCTCTTTTTGGGGGATGGTATAAGGGACTAGGAATTGAACCCAGCTGTGCTGAGTCATGTCTCCAGACCCTTTCATTAATTTTGAGACAGGGTCCTGCTGAGTTGCTAAGGACCTGGCTAAGTTAATGAGGCTGGCCCTGAACTTGCAATCCTTGTACCTCAGCCTCCCAAGCCACTGGGATTATAGGTATGCACTACCATGCCTGGCTCAAACAGTATTTCTTGATCTTGAGGATAAGCTGGGATGATGTTTTTCCATTGTGCACTCACTGGTCATGTGTACTGGTTTATGTGTGTTCTGAATGGGCATTACGTGTTTTGAATAGTACCCCTGGCTGTAAAATGTTTTACTTAAGGACAAATGATAGTTATAGGTTGGTCTTTCAGAATAATGAAATTTTGGCAGTGAACTTTTATATTGAGAAAAGAGATTTATTTAAAATCTATATTTAGTTGCATTTAGTTAAACACCTGATTTACAGGTAATTCATTAGTACTGATGCTAACTTAGGCCAGTGTAATCATTTCAAGTACCCAGCACCTTATAATTTTATGCCAGTTAGAGAAATTGTTACTTTTTTCAACTAAATTTATGTATATATTGTATACTATAATTTAATGTTTAAGAATCTGTGTGAACTGCTTTGGATTATCTCAACTAATATTTGTAAGAATCAATGTAAGGTATTTATTATTGTTATTCCAGTGTTATAGTGGGGAATGTAAGGCTTCAAGAAAGGTGAGGGGCCGGGGTTAAATAACTTGGCCAAAGTTTCGCAGCTAGTTGTTGGTGGAGCAGGTATCCAAACCTGGCATCTTGGCTGTAGAGCTCATGAACCTGACCACAGAACTGCATAGCTTTGTCTGCCACATGTGGGACCGATTTTACTCATTTAAAATATGAGCTAGTCTTTAGTTTTATATTCAGTATTAAAAACATTTTCCCCAATTTCTTGAATTCTTATTTAAAACAGGAGTTATATTTAAAAACAGTGAAAATATTCACTTGGTAAAGACATCTTTTGTCTATTAATCGAACAAGAGTTTATCATATATTTGAAGGTGTATTATATTGCAAGGTGTGAAAGTGTGGAAATGAATAGTTCTGAGTCCTTGCTTTGTATTAGCTATCTAGAGCTTTATTTTACTTCTCTTAGGTATATATAATGGTTCTAATATTTCAAGTTGAAGAAAATGTAGCAAAGGAGGATTAAATATGCCTGTAATTCCAATTGCTCTGTAGACTAAGGCAGGAGAATTGCAAGTTCCAAGTCAGCTTCAAAACTTAGCGAGGCCCTAAGTAACTCAGCGAGGCCCTAAGTAACTCAGCAAGACCCTGTCTCTAAATAAAATATTGAAAAAGGGCTGGGGATGTGGATCAGGGGTTAAGAGCCCCTGGGTTCAATCCCCAGTACAAAGAAAAAGAAAAAGAAAAAGATCCTTGTTCTTAGTTGGTTTGTGCTGCTATAACAAAGTATCCTAGAATGTATAATTTATAAAAACAGACATTTATTGCTCACAATTCTGGAGGGCTGAAGTGAAAGCCAAGGGGTCAGTAAGTTTGTGTATGGTGAGGGGCTGCTTTCTCCTTCCAAGATGTCATCTTCATGCTGCCTCTTCACATGGTGGAAGGTGGGGTGATTGCTGTGCCCTTCCATGGAGGAAGGGAAAAGGCAGCTCCCTTGAACCTCTCTTATGAGAGCACTAATACTGTTCATGAGGATTTTATCACTTCCTAAGGACCCTGCTTACCTCTTAATCCATTACAACAGGGATTATACTTCAGTATGAATTTTTGAAGGACACATTTCTGACCATGGCAATTCTTAAAGCTTTCTTTTCTTTTTCTGCCCTTCCTAACCCTCCCCTCTTGTCCTTTCCCAAGACTTTCTCCTCTCCCAGAGAGAGAAAGAGAAGAAAGACATGCTGAATATGGCTTAGGGTAAGAAACAATAAAGAAAATTTGTCATGTTATCTTCATGCTGCCTCTTCACATGGTGGAAGGTGTGGTGTGGCACAAGTCTGTAATCCCAGCTGTTTGGGAGGCTGAGGCAGGAGGATTGAGAGTTTAAAGTCAGCCTCAGCAACAGCGAGGCACTAAGCAACTTGGTGAGAACCTGTTTCTGGGCTGGGGATGTGGCTCAAGCAGTAGCGTACTTGCCTGGCATGCGTTGGGCGCTGGGTTCGATCCTCAGTGCCACATAAAGATAAAATAAAAGATGTTGTGTCCACCGAAAACTAAAAAATAAATATTAAAAAATTCTCTCTCTCTCTCTCTCTCTTCTCTCAAGAGAACCTGTTTCTGAATAAAATAGGGCTGTGGCTGTGGCTCAGTGGTTGAATGCCACTGAGTTCAATCCCCAGTACCAACCAATAAACAAAACACCACCACCAACAACAAAACATAATTTATCAGTATCCTAGAAAATATTAGAATTGTTTTCTGAATTGATTCAGTTACATAGTATTTAATCAGATGTCTGTGTCTTTCCTCTCAATATTAGAATTTGGGAGTGTAGGTGTTTGAGAACCAACTTGTTCCCTCTTATGTGACCTTGAGTCATTTACTCAACATCCTGGGCCTCACTTTTTTTCATCTGTAGAATATGGGACAACTCAGATTATCTAGAATATCTCTTTCATTTTTGAAGTTCTTTAAATCTCTAAACTATAGGATTGACCAATGTACTTAATGAAGTTTAATATTAATCACTATGCCTACTCCCTTCTTTCCCTACCTTTAACATGCATTTATTAAATGTCTGATTCGTTTGGGATGGTTGAAAATAAAGCAAGTTCTTGTCTGTGCAACTAGTTCTTTTCTGTGATTCTGCTACTTCTAAGGAATCAACTTGTGTTATCCAGAGCAGACTTGAGATAGTATCCACAGTTAAAAGGAATAGCTTAGTCCTTTAATTCACCAAAAATTAACTTGACTGGGGGAAGCATAGGAGTTTACCTTTATGAATATATTAATTTACAGACAGCATCTTCTCATTTAATAGATTATTTTTTAATTTGCCATTATTAAATGCACTTTTGAGGACAATACATGATATGTAAGCTTTGTAGTGGCTGTGTTGAATAAACCTCTTTCAAGTACAAAGCGAAATGGAATTTGAGTAGATTTTAGTGATGCCACCATCCCACAGCAAATTTTATGACCAGCAGGTCACTTGAATTCTAAGCAGTAACTGTATATCTGAATATATGACATAATTTATCAGTATCCTAGTAGCTGTTTTAACAATGCAGAATTTTAAGTTGTATTCCCTTTTGTAATTAATTTCCTACTTACCTTACTTTCTTCTCATTTTGGTTTTCTGGTTGCTGGTTGCCTAGTATCATTAGTTTGGGTCTGCTACTCATCAGAACGACTTTTCCTTCCTCTTCAGGAGTGGGGCCAAGAGGACAGCTATCATGGGGCTGAGTGCTTTCATATTTCCCTGTTTTTAGATTGGGTGATATGCTGATGCTGCTTATCTGTATTACCATAGCTGTATACCGGAATTCTGTGTCTGAGTATAATTTAAAGAAGTATGTTGTGGGAAATTTTAGCTATTAATTTGTGAATAGTCAAGTAAGGTGATATAATCTGGGAAATAAATACTTTTATTTGGTTTGGGAGAATATATTTGTTTTCATCTATTTGTCAGTAAAGATTAATTTTCTCTCATGGCTTTTCAGATGAGGGTAGTTATTGCTTCTTTTCTTTCTGTATGTGTCTAATTTTCAGTCAGACCTAGCATGCCCACTGAAGGAGGACCTAATTATCTTTATTTAGGGCACCTACAACAGTAAAGGGAAACTATTAGAAGCATGAACTTTATAGTTTATAAGGGCCTTATGGAATGCAGTGAGCTTTTGGAAGACCTCAAGTACCAGTATGAGAAGATTAAAACTGATCCATAAAGCAAAAAAAGGAGCTGGGAGTAATGTAACAGAAGCTTTAAAGTCATTGTTTTACAAGACATAGTAAGTCAAAGTGCCATTTAGATTTGGAACACACTAAAGTGCTATCTAGCTGCAGTAATTTAAGTTTTTTTTTTTTTTTAATTCACTACATTGGTTGGGGTACATATCAGTGGTCTTTATAGATTACAGTTTCATGTGAAAAAAAAGAAACCCCCTTTAAACCATTTAATGTAAATATTTCTATACTAACTTAATGCTTAGTATATTTTTTGGAGGTAGTTTTGTTTGTTGTTCTAACATTACCTTTGCTTTCCAGATTATTCTTTCTTTATAGACATAATTAATAAGTACATATGTTTTTGTGTTGTGTGTGTGTGTGTGTGTGTGTGTGTGTGTGTGTATCTGTACATTCATTCGCATCTCTTTTCTGTCCCAACCCTACTTCTTCTGTTTTGTGAAATGGAGGTCTCACTGTGTTGCTCAGACTGGCCTTCAGCTCCTGAGCCTCCTGAGTAGCTGGAACTATTGGTGTGTACCACCCACCTTGCTTTCTTCTACCTTTTTCCTTTTTGGGTACCTGGGGTTGATTAAACCTAGGAGTGGTTTTCCACCGACCTACATTTCCAGCCCTTTATACTATTTATTAATTACTTTTTTTTTTGGTGGTGGTACTGGGRATTGAATCCAGGGCCTTAGGTGTGCTAGGCAAGCTCTCTATACTGAACTAAATTCCCAGCCCTTTATTTTTTTATTTTGAGACTGTGTCTCACTAAATTCCTGAGGCTGGCCTTGAACTTGGAATCCTCCCACCAGTCTCCTGAGTAGCTGGAATTACAAGTGTTTGCCTGGGTTTCCCCCTACATTTTATGGCTTCCTGTTCA